ACGGCAATATTTTTTTTAAGAACATCGAAAGCAGAATTTGAAATTGAATTTCAACGAGACAGTAACAATATTTTTTAATTTCTTAATCCCGCCAATAGCACAGATAGTAGTCGAGTTGTCTATGGCGCGAGCGTACGCGATACATTATTTTGGCGCGCAATTGAAAATTCGCTCTTGCCAAACGATACATATTGGGTGAAAACTAATAATTTCAAAAACTTTTGTCATATTTTGGCATCATTTGCTTCGCTGTATGTATATAAAAATTTTCAAAAATAAAAAAGTTTGTCGATTGGTGAAAATTGTAAGACCTGAAATTGTAATTCCTGGATTTTCCGATTTTTCGAAAAATCAAGGGGAAAACTTCGTGAGGAACGAAGGCACTATTAAAAGCGCCTAAGTGTGTACTTTAATTTAAAAAAAAAATTACTTCGATAACTTGATTGGTTTTGGAGATATGACGGTGGCAACAAAAAAAAACACATTTTATTAAAAATATATTTTTTTTACTTTTTTTGTTATAAAAAAGTTCAAGACCACGGAAAAATGTCTGCTCTTTAGATTTCGTATGCCCAGTGACATGCTTAACAAAACCTACCACGTTTGATTTGGTTCTACGCCAATTTTTTTTTTCTCGAAAACTAAGCGACTTTCGGCCACAGATTTACTCGGCTAAATTTTGACCTTCTGCTGATGGCACGACAGAAAACTACTGGCTTATGTGACAGCCCTTTTGCTAAAACCTATGCTGAAAAGCTCCCTCAAGAGTGCATTCAACGACGGACAATACTTGAACAGCAAAAAACACCATGCATGGTTATTGGAGACAATAATTTAGATTTGCTTGAAAGTTCAACAGCAATATACAGAAGCTACAAAAGTGGTGCATAAAAGTACATATTAACCAAAGAACTACTTACAAGAAACTTTCTAGACATAAATAAGTGGAAACAAGAAGTTGAGGAAGCAATGGGTAATCTGTTGAATAAGACAAAAAAATTATGTACAAGGCAAAATATCAATAAAGGCAGGAATAATAATTATTGTTGGGTGACACATGACTACATAACAAATTGTATGTGAGATCGAAAATGATTCCAAATGAATATACATAAAATGTATTTGAAAAAACAAATTAAACCAAATGAGAATAAAACTTCAAAATCAGTACGCAGAATTTTTTTTTTAGAGAAATGATGGGCGATAGCAAAAGAACTTGGTTCATTCTTAACGACTTGCGTAGTAGAAGTAAAAGGAAGAATAACAACATAAGTAAGGTGACAAACAAGAATTAATGAAAATTGCAGCAAAAATAAATGGCACAAGTATAGGAGAAACATTGGCATCTAGAATAATCCAAAACCATGGACTTCAGTTTGATGAAAAAGAAGAAGTTGATAGTATCACACTGCAAACTTGAAAGAAGTAGAGACAGTAATAAGTGATTCAAAAAACAACTGCTCACCTAGTATGGATAATGTAACAAAAAAAGACATAGAGACACATCTTGATAATATTGGTGTGAACATTGTACTAATTTGGTACTAATAATAAATGAACTTTTGGAAAGTGGACAATATCCGGAAGAGCAAAAAATAGCAAAGATAGTGCCAATATACAAGAAAGATGCATACGATGATGTAAATAATTATCAACCTATCTCATTGTCAATTACTTTTAGTAAAATCTTCGAAAGGCTGATTGAAAGCAGACTCATTGACTTTATTGATAATCAGAACGCAGGAAAGCCAGTCCTAAACGGAGCGATCAAAAGCACGACCACACGCATACAAAAGGCATTTGACACTGTTGGCACAACTACTAAATAAGTTTGAAAAAATGGGGTTTTATGGCAAATGTTATTACTTCTTACTAACATACTCAACTGGTGGAAAGCAGTGTGCTGAGATAAATGGTACGGTTAGTACACAGGCAAATGTCAGTGTTGGTGTAGCACAGGGCTCTGTGCTGGGTCCATTGGAGTATTTTCTGTCTGTAAAGAGTCCAAAATATGCAGGATTGAAAGCAAGGTATATCAAGTTTTACGATGACACAGTACTGATGTACTCTGTCACAAAAAGGAAACAACTACTAATATTGATCTTGCAAAGTACTTTGAGTGATTGTGTTGTAATAGGCTGACCATAAATGTGGAAAAAACTGTTTACATGCTATTGAACTAATTAGGGAAAAGTCTAATTCATCTTGAAATTCAGTGATAGGGAGCTTAAAAAAGTTCAACAAAACAAATATTTGGGACGCATAATTACAGAAAAACTAACATGGGTTGCTCATATACAAATTATTGCTGAAAAAGTTATTCCTGTGCTAGGCTCAATTTTAGTCAGTGGATAAAAACACAAAATATATGTTCTACAGCAGTTTTATTGAACCACATATAAGAAGAGTGCAAAATAAGTAGAAGAAGACTGCAAAATAAGTCAATAAATTTTTTTTTCTATAAACTACTGTACTGCTGGTGATATTATATAGCAAATATCCATTCTTAAAAATTTAGCAACTATAAATGTTCCTTCGAGTAGACTGAGCTTATTTGCAAAATTAAAAATAACCTATTGAAAACGAACGTGGAATTAAAACAAAAATGAGGACTTTCATAATTATCACTTAAGAACTAGAGACAAATTAAGGAACAAATCTATAAAATAACAAGTCACAAGACTCTCCTATATTTAGAACCATGCAAACTTACAATGGGCTCCCGTAGTTTTTATTTGAAGAAGAGAAGGCTATTAGCACCGTTTAGCTGTAGCCTCAAGAATTATTTTAAAAACAGGGACTAAATTATATTTGAGTTTTTAATTTTGAATTTTGTATAAAATATTTCATTCTGTTATCTGTTTATAATTTTCTTATTCAAGGCCTCAATACCAGTTGTTGTAACTCATTTGAGGTTCGTAATAAATTGAATTAAAAAAGCTAATTCTGAAATGTAGGTACACTTGGCCAAACATAAAACTGGTACAGGCAATGTACCTACAGGATGTCCACTTAGTGCGATATCGGACGATATCTCCTTACAGGGTGATGCAAGAAAAAAAAAATTAAAATACAAAGTTGTTTGATACTCTAATACGCATTAGTTAAAAATATTTTTGAATATACAGGGTGCTCTGTTTATGGGGTATGCGGCAGAACTTTGTTATTTTAAATGGAACACCCTATATGTGATTGCCTATTTGGATTCTTCGTAAAATTCTGAGTAGATTTCATGTGATACACCTTATACCTAAGTTCAACTGTTTTGGAAATATTGACAGTTGAAAATCCATCTTACGGTACATTCCTTAGATTTTTAATAACTATCATTTGACACCAACTTTGAATTTAATCCATGACTAAAAATTCCAGTTAAATTTCATCTCCCGTTAAATTCAAAGTTGGTGTCAAATGATAGTTTATGAAAATCTAAGGTAGGAATGTAAAATCGGTTTTCGTCTAAAATTAACCGTTCAGGTTTTACAGCCTCAATCAAAGTTGCAAAAAGTGAATTTTCAACTGTCAATACATATTTCCAAAACAGTTGAATTTAGGTATAGGGTATATAACATGAAATCTGCTCAGAATTTTACGTAGAATCCAAATATGCAATTACATACAGGGTGTTCCATTTGGAATAACTAAGTTCTGTCGCATACCCCATAAACGGAGCACCCTGTATATTCAAAAATATTTTTAACTAATGCATATTAGAATATCAAACAACTTTGTAATTTAATTTTTTTTTCTTGCATCACCCTGTAAGTTGATATCGGCCGATATCGCGAAAAGTGAACACCCCGTATATTTTTCAACTTTGCCTAGTGTGAGTCAGGCTTAATTAACAACATAAAGTTTCTTCAGTAAAACTTAGGTCAGACAGTTTTTGTCAATGTCAAAGCTGAACAAAAGTAAATGCAACATGTGTTTATGTTATGTTTGGTTCAAAGATGACATTGACTTGACTCTTCTTGTCATTTTTGAGTTGAGAAAAAAGTTCGATTTACACAATACAACACAATAGGAAAATGCATACCAGTTTTATGATGGCCAAGTGTACCTTATTCTGAAGACAAGAAAATCGAGAACTTTTAACAATAGGTACTTATGTTAGATGTTTCGTCGTGTAGAGCCTCTTAAATTAATTATATGGATGAGATAAGCCAAAAAGGATACAGATATTTCTTGAAACAGAGGCACGTGTATCAAAGGAATTTGATAGCTGCCAGTATAATCAATGATGGTCTAGGTCATGCTTGACCAGAAAGTAAAATTATGAATTAGTTGATTACGAATCAAACAAAACAAAAACAATAGTTTTGGGAAAAAAAAATCCAAGAATATCTACTTGACATTGCGGGAGAATATATTATATACGAATACACTAGCGTTTAATCGTAGCAGAAACTGGTTAGCAACTGCGTAAGCATAATGACTTTTTCATAAATTGTATTGAAAAAATTGTTAATTATGTCCATTTACGCAATCTTGAAAATGTACTGCCAGCAGCAAGGAGTTCAAAGGAGTTTTGTCATGTATAAATGAGGATATAGTAAAAAGCAGGCAGTTGATGACATTTCAAGATCAGTGCTGAAGTTGGGTTGTGGTTTTAATTTAAATGTTTACGAAAACTTCACTGGACTACTGCGTGGTAACTTATATCTTTTTGTTTTGCTTTGTAGTTTCCTTATTTATGTTTCATTTTCTATGATATGTGAAAAATCTGTAAATGATAAAATTTGTAAATCATGATAAAATCTTTAAAATGATAAAGTATTTTTATACAAGACAATTTGATATGTGTAAATACTCCAGTATGTAGGTATATTACAAGTTTTATGATTGCCTTATGATCTGCCTACATACACATATTTCCATATTAATCAATTGAAACAATTTAATTTGTGCACCCTGAATCGAAACTACTATAGTTATTTTGTATAATAATTATCCTGTTCTGAAACGCTGCAAATATTGACCTTAACTTTTCTGCTTTTTAGAAGTAGCTATGGTGCAAGCCCAAGTGAAGGTACCTTAGGCACTAGCTATGGTAGTCTACCTCAAACATTGCCTTCATTCCATCATCCCTCTCACGCTTTATTAAAAGAGAACAACTTCACTCAACAGGCGTATTCCAAATTTAGACAAAAGTGCCTTAAAGGTAGAAAATCATATTAAGCAAATTATATTTCGAATAACCATTGTTTTTTATAATTTTTAGAACGCAAGCGGTTTGGTATTGGTCAATCCAATGAGATGAACACCCTATTCCGCTTCTGGTCATTTTTCTTGAGAGAAAACTTCAATCGCACCATGTATAACGAATTTAAATCCTTAGCTTTAGAAGATGGTGAACAAGGTTATCGATATGGTCTCGAGTGTTTGTTCCGTTTTTATTCTTACGGGCTTGAAGTCAAATTTAGACCCCATTTATATGAAGATTTCCAAGAAGAAACAGTCAGAGATTATGAAAATGGGCAGCTGTATGGTCTAGAAAAATTTTGGGCTTTCATGAAATATTACAAGCAAGCAACTCATCTAAGTGTTAACCCTAAGCTTAAAAAGTATTTGTCCAAGTTCAAGACTATTGAGGATTTCAAAGTGGTTGAGGTGAGTGAAAATTCCTCATAGGTACAAGTAATATTTTTTAAATCAAGAATGCCGATTGGCATCACGTTATTACGTTCACTGTCCTATGATCCATATATGAGTCATATGCCTTATGTTTTTTGCAAGTCCTGTGCACCATTTTAAGCAATACGGATTTCGAAAATATAGGTCAACTGGCGATTTACTTACATACGTCACTCACTTATGGCAAAAAGCGATTGAGTTGCGGGGTGAAACAAGAACAATTGCCTTAGATATATCTAAAGCATTCGACAAAGTTTGGCATGAAAATCTGCTCAACAAGCTCAAAGCAATGGGATTATCGCCGAAACTTTGCACTTGGTTTGAAAGTTACCTAAAGGACAGATCCATTTATGTTGCACTGGATGGCCAGAACTCCAACTCTTACCAAATAAATGCTGGTGTGCCACAGGGAGCAATCCTTTCGCCAACTCTTTTCCTGATTTACATAAATGACCTCATAGATAAAACAGTAAATCCACTTTATTGCTTTGCAGACGATGGCAATGTAGTCTCCTCACTCATACCACCCACAGGTCTTTCCGCACGTGAATTCCATCATCTTAGACTAACTCAAATATCGCAGATAAATAACGACCTGGAGATAATAGAGGACTGGGGTAACAAAAACCTTGTACAGTTCAACGCGCAGAAAACCCAAGCAGCTCTGTTTTCAAAAAAGACCAGCACCGGTGAGCCAAACATCATGCTATCTGGAAGTGCTGTCACATTACAGAGTCAGTTGAACATCTTGGGGGTTACTGCAGAGACCAACATGTCTTGGCACAGTCACGTGGCAGATATTGCTAAAAGGGCCTCCCAAAAGCTGGGGGTGCTATTTCGTACAAGACATCTGTACACACCAAGCCAATTGCTGACACTCTACAAAGCCCAGATTCGACCAACTATGGAGTACTGCTCACATATATGGAGTGCAGCACCCAAACATACCTTAATGCTTTTGAATACCGTGCAAAAACGAGCTATCAAGCTGATCAATGACCCCGCACTTACTCGTAACTTGGATGGTCTCGAACATCGCAGATCTGTGGGCGATTTATCTCTCTTCTACAGGTACTATCACGGAAAATGCTCTGAAGAGTTGACACGTATGATTCCACCGAGAGTAGCACCTACCAGGCGAACCCGTCAAACAGACGGTAACCATGAATTTACTGTCAAACTAGAGGCACCAAGAACCTCATTATATCAGAATTCATATCTCTGGAGAACAGCATCGCTGTGGAATAAACTCCCTGCGACGGTTTTCCCTGCAGGTTACAACCTGAACCGTTTCAAGACCAGCATACACCGACATTTCCGCGCACTTGCCGCTTCTCGAGCGTGATAGGACATTTCCTTGCGAGTGCGCATATCCGTAAAAAAAAAAAAAAAAAAAAAAAAACATTTTTAGCTCATATTAGGTTTTAAGACGGACTGTCGATCAATTTACTCGTTATCCACAGGAGACTCTGTAGTATACAAAGCAATCATGCAAAGTACAAATTTGACCCATATTTGGGGCATGAAGCATTGACAACTTAGGTATTTTTTTGTTTGTTTTTTTTTTTAATTGATTAGTGTACAGAATAATTATGGCAACATACAAAAATAATTTTTCATTCTCCCCCCTATGAAAGTAGATTTTTTCATCTTGCATAGGCGAGCGAAAGCGAAAGTGAAACATGCTAGTAGTTAATTTCACTTTCGCTACTAACATGTTTCACTTTCGCATGCCTATTCACGATTTTTGAGAGGGAAGAATGGAAAGTTTAATACATTACACGCTGCAAAAGCCTTTTTAGGTGCTTGGAGGCATTTAAATAGCCTCGGCAGCTCTTCGCTTCGCCTCACTTGGAATGTAAATTACTATTCCATACGTACTAATGAGCCTTATTATAACATGGTAGGCAGTATGCCTGATAACATGCAGAGCAATATGTTGAGGTTTTCTTGAACCAAATATGTCTCATAGGACTCTGTGGATGTAAATTTTGACGACAGAGTCCCATGACCCAAATATGGGAGATCAGTTTTTTTATATGGAGGACTCCTGTGCCTGGCTGATGGGTTGTTATTTGGACAGAGAATGTGCTAATAGGCAGTGCGCACCAAAAGTCTGCCTCCCCTGCTAATTACCTACCAAGTACTAAGTACTTCAAAAATTTTAATGGACAAGTGGATCTAGTGCTTCCTCCCCTGATAACTTTTTCTGAGTTGCCTACTTTCCCAACCAAAATGACGGCTTGCTACGCCGGTTTGCTATTTCATCTTTTTCGAATTCTGAAGCACTAAAATGGTCGCAGCGCCTAAACTAAAATAGCTAGCAAAAAAAGTCATGAGGCAGAGTTGATCAGAATGTGATTATCCACAACTATTATTGAGGTAATTTTGTTGAAAAAAAAAAAAAAAAAAGAAAAAAAAAAAAAATGCCAATAGGGCCGAACGCACAAGGCTTTCGAGTCAGTTTTTTTAGCTCAATACTCAAGACACAATCTCCAATCAGCTCTGAAAAAATCAGCCTGCCCTCGTAATTTTTTTTTTTAAATACCCATACCTACTTATATTCACTGGACTATTTCCTATCATTCAATTTCCTCAATGATATGAATACAAAAATTGGAAATTAATTTTTTTTAAAGTTTATTATTTGAAAACTTTTTATTTTCCTGATTGAGCTTAGGTCGTTCAGAAGCAGAAAATAGGGCCGCAATGTTACTCTGAGGAATTGTATTCTAATGTAAAAAAAAAAGAAATCATTCAGTTGGTGTTTCTGTTTTCTATTTTTATATAAGAAAGTATTTATTATTAGCCAAGAATAAACGAGATCCTTCAACCACATGCTAGAGGGTATCGCATGAGGCAGAGAAACCGTACCATTTCTGAGGGTCAAATAGCAGCTGGGCCAAGTACGTCACGTGGTGATAGTCGTAGATCATCTACCTCCAAAGACAAGTAAGTTTAATGACTGCTAGAAATTAATTATTGAAGTCAAATATTTCTCTATCAACAGATATGATGCTGGACAAAATTACCCACAACCTGGAACTAGTGCTCCTGCTGGTACTGGCTTTAAATATTCAAGAAGTCGTGCTCAATCTTTTGGTTCTGGGCGTATCCAAAAATCCGTTCGAACGCGCACTGATTCCTGAAAAACCAAAGCAAGTGTGCCTCAAGGTGTGTGTTTGTATAACTACCGTTATTAAATATTGTAATATAAATAGGGCCAAACAAATATACAGGGTTAGTAGAAAGTACTGCAACGCTTAAATATCTTCAAAACCGCTTGAGCCGCGTTCACACATTTCGGAATCTGACAATTTTTGTGCATGCGAAATTGAACAATGCTACGTGTAGCGCAAAACTGGGAAATCCGGCAACAATGCCGATATCACTGTTAAATTTTGCTTGCCCAAAAACTCCCAGATACGAAATTTCGTGAACGTGCTCAAGCGGCTTTTAAGGCCGGTCGTTCTTTGGATGCGTTTTCGTCCGAATTGCAACTGTCAGAAATAGGACGAATAATTTCGTCAGATTTCGCACACGTGATATCGTCCACTGGACAAGTTTTTGCAGACTTCGCACAGTCTTTACGTAGCGGAGTAATATGGAGGATTATCTTTTGGAAAATATAATTATCGTGTTAGACGGCGATTGTTAAAAAGAAAAAAGTGCTGGGCTAATGATATAGCAAAAGGAAAATAATTCGGAGAATTTTATCTTTTATATGATGATTTAAAAAACGATGAATTTTCTCTGCATGTCTCTCATGTGATATGATTTGACGGCCATATCCCACAAAGGTTCTCTTTCCATATCAAATTAATCAATTTTTTGATATCCATATCTCTATCTTCTCAGTAACCCAGTCAACACACACAAATCGTCAAAACTACTGCGAAAAATCCCATTTTTTTGGGATCAATCGCATGTTTTCGTCCGAATTCGCACGAATAATTTCAGGTACAATGTACGACCGTCATTGAGTTTTAGTGAAATGGGATCATTCGCAATTTTTCGTCTGATTTCTGACGAATGTAATTCGGATGAAAAAGCATCCAATAAAGGACGACCGGCCTAAAGAAATTCAAGCGTTGCGATACTTTGTACTGAAAATGCGGTGTTGGCATATTTCAGCAACTAGTAGTGATTGAATTCTGAAAATTTGGAATCTTATCAAATCTGGCATTTCCAATCCATTGCAATATAAATAAATGGGGCATTCTATTTTAAGATCGTTGCAGTACTTTCTACTAACCCTGTATGTAGGCCCTGTACTTTTGCCCTTTGTTAAGGGGGATTATCAGTGGAGAGAAATTTCGATGACATGCTTTTCTTTTAGCAGTGACGAATAAATATGGAATGGCTTCTTCACTAAATAAGTAGTTAATGGGCAAAAGTACTGGCCTAGAGTATTTAATATCTGAATTAAAGACAATTGATATCAGCAAATTATTGCAACAAGTTAGAAAACATGCCATTAGTATTTTGCCTCTAACTTGGTTATATTTTCATAAAAAAGTTTAAAAAAAAAAGAGGTTTGTGGACCTAGTTATGCAATTCTGGGGACAGCAAGGCGTAAACTGGTCACCTGCTTCCCAAAAAAAAAACTTTGTTTTAAGTGTACTCTATGCGGCGCGTTGTACAACTCTCAATCACTCGACCGCCTTGCGAAGGGCCACTGGCTTGAAAACTTCGGGCATCTTTTGAGAATGATGATCGCTTTCAGCGGGAAATGGACGTTGGCTGAACTGGAATTGTTTTTAATGATCACTTTTTTGAGTCAATATTTGACAAAAAAGAGCTCAATTGTATGTCTTATGAGTCTTTACACCTTCCAGTTTAGTGTTCGGAGTATTTTCATTACCAGAAGAAGACGGATTAGTATTGTATGGAGTTACTGACTGTTGCATAGGGAAGAAAAATTTAACATTATTTTCAGCAGTATCGCCCAATGTTATTTCAGCCAAAAAAACTTTTTAACTTGTGCTTAGTTCAGGGCACATGTGCAAATCTGATAGCACTTTATACTTTGCTTTCTCCTTACCTTGAGGCCAGACTTCAAAATCATTCTCTTCAGCGTCAACTACCTTCAGAGCACTTGCTTTTCTAACAAATTTTCCATATGCAATATCATTTTTGGTTTCTCTTCCATTACCTAAATTGAGTAATCTTCTTATGTGATGGTTCTCTAATATAGTAGAAACAAAATCTACTAAAGCGCTGTACGATTAGTGCTTAAAAAAATCGTCGTTTTCTTTCAACCAGCATGCTGTATCACTGGTTGATTTTGGAACGAATTTCAGTATTGATTGATATTATTGATAAAGCTAACCTAATTATTATAGGGCAATAAGATGTCATTCATGCTCGCCATTTGTTGAACGGCTTGGATTTTCCCGCTTCTTGTCGGTAAATTTGACACGAGTCATAGGAACGCGAGCCTGTTTAGGCTTGGCTGGTATGCTTTCAACGACGATTGCAACAATCCACAGGCCATGGGATCGCATCCACTTGCCAAGCCTCGACCAACAAGCCGATTCTGAACAAGCCACGACAAAGCCTCAGCCACAAGCCAGGCTCGCCAAGCCATGCGCCATGGGATGCCGGCTTTTACCAACCCAACCGTGACATTTTGGTATCATAAAACCGTTTTTCGTGGAGTTTTAAGGTGATTTTGTATCGCTTGAGAAGGATAATTTTCGTATTTTAAGACGGAGAGTCCCTAAGAAGTTATTAGTGCAACATTCGCAAGCAGGACCTACTTACTTCATCGTACCCAATTGGTGAAGGCGAATAATTTCCTATCCCATGAAGTTTCTGTATCATCAGGAGTTCCTCAGGGATCCCATGTAGGTCCGCTTGTTTTCAATCTATTTATAAATTATATTTCCAATTGTTTTTTGTCCTCTAAATTTCTTCTATTTGCTGATGATTTGGAGCTGTTCAGGACGGTTGTTACTTCTGAGGATTTAGGCCAGGAAAGAGAGGTTGAACCTCGCAAACTCGACACAAGTTCTGTTTTATTTTTTTTCTGGCAGGACAAGGGGTGCTTATTATGGGTCTAACTTTTTCCAACAAAATTTCACCCTGGAACATCCCCTTTCATCACCCTAAAGGTCGTTTTCCTGGTTTTTCCGAAACGTAGCGCTTCCGCTAAGTTTTACAAAAAAAATACCTTCATAGCAAATTAAAGAGGACTAAATTCTCTACAAATTATCCAGCGACAGCATATGTCTATCACCTACCCTCTAGTCGGGGTGGCGCTCTAAAGTTGAATGACCTTGAAAAAAGATGTTTTGGAAATTATTTTTTTTTTACTGCACAGTAAAGCGAATCCACCACAAACCATACAGCAAATACTCATAAATAATTGGCCGATTTTTTGGTATATGTTTTATTTAAAAACAGTAACCCGTTTAAGATATACAAGGTGTTGAAATTTAAATAACCCCCTTTCATATAATCTGAAGAGCTAATGCTAGGTTGTTCAATTTTTCAGGGATTATTGATGTAAGAATGATATTGAAAAATTTGTATAATGCACCCCTATTTTCCAACTGGAATAACCCAAAAAAAATAAAATTTGACAAAAAAGCTTTTTTTTTCATTTTCTCGCACACAATGCCCTCCATGTAAATGGTTCAAATATTTTTTTATGCACACCTTCGACATACATGCATAGACACCAAAATCATTTTTCTAGTACAACCCCACTAGACGGAAAAAAAATATTAAGGGGGTGCATTTTTTTGTTTTTTGGCTTTTTGTTTCACATAGGTCAGTAGCGCACTAAATAAGCTTTCCAAAAATATATCTACTTATTGCAACATCCCTCTGGAAACTACCCCTGCCCCTTATGGAAGTTGTCGCAACCAGTCTTTAGCGATTATTTCGTTACCTATGCATTGTATGGGAAGGGAATTTATACGAAATTGAAGACCACCATATGCACTACAAATAGGGTCTTGATGCATTTTCTTTATATTTGCAATCGTTACGCTACAGTGGCGTCCCAAAGTTCAGCAGTTTAGAAGTGGATTCCAGTTTTATTCCATTATCTCGTCACCTATTCATTTTATCGCTAAAATTCATTTGCTAAATTGAAGGCCAGAAATTTGTCTACTCATTATGCCCTATACACTTTCTATGTTCTTTCCACCTTTCAGCCACAACGGTAGTCCAAATGTCGGAAAACGTCACGAAAACTCCATTTTTGATTTTTTTTTTTTTCGTCAATGGTCTTCAGCTCACAATAAGGGCTTATCTAATTGATTTATTATAACAGTATTAAGTATATACCAATTATATTTCATGCAATTTAACCCTTTCGCTATGCGGCGCGTTCCAGCCGGCTTTCATTCCCTAAGTGCTGCGCTAATAGACGTCATCGCAGTGAAGCGTCAATTTATAATTTTTAGGTTATGGTTTATGGTTTTTATCTTTATATTTGATTTAGTTTCTGTATTTCATTGTTTGTATCAATTTATTCTCAGTGGCACATATCTGTGAGCTTCAGATTTACTAAACGTCCTTTCTTCCTCACCTAACAGCAGCCTACACCGCGGCAAGCTTATTCACGTTGAAAAAAGTGGGGGAATAACGGATTTTATATATTCGAAAATATCCGACTACAGCAGCGAAGCAAAAAGACGTTCCACAAAAATGCGTCATCCGCACATCTCTTGCATAAAAAAAGAAAACACATATATGTGCTATCCGCAGCGAAAGGGTTCAGCTCTATGTTCCAACCAATAAAATACAGTGGCGACATCGACAGCTTGTAAATCCTGTTCACAATCCGATGTCCACAGGTGCAGGTAAATTTATCACCTTTCCCTATCAAATAGCATTGAAAGGTGATTTTACCTGTACCTACCTGTGGACATCGGATTGTGAACGGATAATAGTTGTTTCCACACCACCCAACAATGGCGTGGAAACCATGTAGGTAGTCTACCTCAAGAGGTGCGTTTTTTGTCCTACCAAAAAAAAAAATAAAACAGAACTTGTGTCGAGTTTGCGAGGTTCAACTTCTCTTTCCTGGCCTAAATGCCAGTTGCTGCAGGATGATCTCAATAGATTTACACAATGGTGTCGCAACAATTGAATGGAGCTCAATGTGTCCAAGTGCAAGCTGATGAAATTTTCTAGGTTGCGTCATCAAATTAACTTTAATTACCTAATCAATGGGGAGATTCTACTATCTGTTGCGACCATCAGTGATTTGGGTGTTACTCTTGATCCGGCTCTTTCATACATAGAGCATACATCGAATATAATAAGCAAGTCACTTATGATGTTGGGTTTCACTAAAAAAACTCAAAAGAGAGTATCCCATAACCTCTCTTAAGATTCTCTATTGCAGTCTTGTTCGAGCAAGACTGGAGTATGTCTCTTCAGTTTGGAACCCCTTATATGCGCGTTATTATGCAGCGTAAGTTTCTGCATTACATACATTTCAAATTCTTTAATAACGACGATTTCCATCATGAGTCTCTGTGTCGTAGGCTGAACCTTTTACCATTGTCGATAAGAAGACGAAATAGGGATCTTGACAATCTTTTTAAGCTTCTTAACTCTCTGTCAGATTGCCCTGACTTGCTTGCAGAAATAGGCCTTTATGCTCCTACTAGAGTGACTCGAAGCCGCTTTATTTCCAATGTGTCATTTCATCGTACTAATTATGCAGCACTCTCTACCATTCCTCGCTCAGCTGCTCTTGCTAACAGATTCGCTGATAAGATAAATCGTTTTTCTACGTTGAAAACCTGTGTCTTGTCTCTCCAGGAATGACATAAAACGAACTTTATCACGATAAGAACGGCTTCCACAACAACTAAAGTACATATGGCAGACATTTTAAAAAAAAAAAAATACTTCACATCAATCAAAAACCGTAATTTAGAAGAAGAAATAAATCAATAAAACGTAGTTTTTGAACAAACGCAGATCACGGATGACAGATGTTTGACCTATGCCGCCATATAGAATTTATTTTTTGGATTGCCCTCTTTTGTTTTTATTATTATTTGTTTTCAATTTTTGTTTTCTGATCATCGTCTGATTCTTCCGAAGACTCCTCGAGTGCCTAAAGCTCAATTTATAAACTCGCCCTCGAGATTCCGTTTGTGTTTGCGTTTGCGTCGAGCACGCCGTTACCAATTGAATATTAGAAATCCCATAAGATCGTTTATACTCGCCGACGGCCTCACAGTTCGCCGTCAGCATAGAGACTACGGTAACCAGCGAGGCCGTCGCAAACGCAGACGCAAACGGAATCCCGACGGCGAATTTATAAATTGAGCTTTAATCATATTTCCAGCAAAAACTAATGGAAATAGTTCATTTAGAACGAAATACCAACATCCCACCACTTCTACTGGATTACAGTAGCTTCCCATATGCAGCAAACACAGTACTTATAAGTAACGTATTTGTAACGTCATAAGTAATTTTTTCAGTAAATCAGCACACTGAATTTTAATTTTGGAACCCTTCCCAGCAAATATAGTAGGTAGGGCCTGCGTTAATTGAAAAGAGTACGGTGACCACACGGAAAGCTGCGCGAGGCAGGTCCGATCTCTCTCTCTCTTTTCTTTAGCTCTTGTGTCTGCAGTGGATAGCCTTGTTCCAACCCAGCAGGAAACCGTAATATTACCGTCAGGATTCTGGGCAAAACCTAAAATGTTTTTGTAGAAACCGAAATTCGTATGCAGAGTTGTTCCGAAACCGTTCTGGGACGGTTTTTTGACGACAGTAGACGTCAGTCATGTTATGCTTGTATTGTCTCGTTGGGGCCCGTGTATTCTGAAAATACGGGAAATTTGATTGGTCGGTAGGCCGTGGATTCCGGCTTAGAATCCACGGGGTGTAAAATTCCAATCATCAATCAGTTAAATGTCGAGTAAGAATGAATGTATTATTTAATGTTCGAAGAGAAAATAAATTAAATAACTATACCTGCTGACCGTACGACAATGAACCACGTGCTTGACATTCGGCAGCAGCACTGCACGGCACCTATCACCGTATTCTTTTCTCTTGACGCGGGCTATACCTTGGCTGTTATACTGACAGTTGAAAAAAGAACATAGCCTTAATTAGTTCTGCGCAATTTCCTCTTAATGAATTTCGATCAAATTATAATTGATTTCA